AACGGTGTTGCTGTATAGTTCTCCTAATACTGTATCATCGTAATGTGCATAAAATTATCTATATCGTCGAGATATAGGGGGTTGAGATCACAAACATGAAGGCATTAATTGGGTTGATGAACAGGAGTGTTGGGTTGCGAACGAGATATGATGGGAAGTGATTCATTTCTACTAGCGGGACTTGACAGGCATCAAGCGTGAGATTGCCTGGTCCTCAATAGACAACAAATGCCGTATCATTGTCTGTAGAAATGCCTCATTTAGCTTCTTTCAGCAGCGCCTCCATAGCAGCGTCCTTTTGACCAACACTGCCGCTCCGCTCAGCGGGCTTCAGCTTTCCTGCCGCAGGGGCTTCACTGTTCTGCGCAGCGTTTTTCAGCCTCTCTGTATCTTCGGGATTTGTGTCTTGCTTCTTTGCATCTTTTTCCTCGTCGTCGCTGTCGCCCAGACTAAAGGGATCGTGGTCATCGACCTCAGGGTGGGGTGCTACCGATGTCAATGGCTGCCACTTCTTGCCGCCCGACTTTCCTTGGCTACCCTGGTTGTTCGGCGATGGGTTGCGGTAAAGTGCATCGACTTCGTCAACGGGGCCACTTTGGGGAGGCGATACTGGCGTGGGCTTGAAGAGGTCGGGGTTCGCATTCGGGCGACTTGATGAGCGCTGGGGCACTGTCTTATGTTTAGTGCCGCGCTGCGTATCTGTTGCGTCAGACTTACCCTCGTGGTCCTTTAGCTCCAGCTTCGCAAAGTCGTCACCAATGACCCTGTTGTCTGCGTCGTACCGGTTGTGGTCTGCCGACCGTCGCTGCTCAGCTGACTTCCGAATGCCGTGCATCTGCTCAGACTGCGACGGGCCGAAGTTCTGTCGCGCTGGAGGACCTGTCCGACCCGTGTACTGCGGGTTGCCGTACCTGTCGTACTCCTCAATCTCGCCATCGAGCTTCTTGGTGAAATTGCTGATCCACTTGGTGACCGTCTGCTGTGTCTCCTTGAAGCCCTGCTCGATGTTCTTGCGAATCTCGGGAAGGTCGTCTATAAGCCATTAGCAACCAATGCGGATATAAGAGTGCATTACAATACCGTCAAAGAAGCTATGCTCTCGCTCAGGCTCGCCAGGTCGGGTGCCAGGTTGTTGTCGTTGGCCTTGACCTTGTCCACGCTGCCCCTGACCCCCTGCACCACCCTGGGTCTGGTAGTGCTGGGCCAGCTGTCGCGCATAAATCTCGTCCTGCTCGAGTTGGCTACGGGGCTGTGGGCGTGGTGGTTGCGGTGGAGGAGTTTCCTCGGCCTTGAAGTTAGGATCCGACATGCCTGCGCGTATTAGCTGTACCCCTCACGCTTGAACAAGAGAGGCGCGTACTCAGTAGCGCATTGAAAGCAGGCTCGACCTTGCCACCGCTAGCGACCAAGACTGCCTTGATAACATTGGTATCGATGCCGGGGAAGGCTTCAATCAACGTGTTTTGCGCCTGTACTTGGGGGTCGACAGGTCGCGGGGGCTTCTGGGGTGGGATTTCCGTAGCTTCTTCGCTGAAGCGCACACCGGGCTTGGGCGACTTGGAGACGGGCGGGGGCGCTGTAGCATGTTCTTGAGTCGTTGCAGAAGCCGGGGCGTCGTCGTCGTCAAAGTCTAGCTCACGCGCCGTAGTCGGGCTCTCTGGAGGCTGCAACATTTAGTGCAAAGCTCTCAGCAAGAAGGACCTCTCTGCTTACCTTTTCGGCACTTGTAGGTTTCTCAGACATGATGATTCTGCGGTTTCAATTATTTAACGCGTGGGTACGAGGCTTGTTAGTGTATTGAGACGATCAGAGTCGGTTGTTGAACTTGTATATTGGTACACACGCCGCGCATGAGCTCGTGGCTTGAAATGATGCGCCCGCCACTGATGACGTTTCGCGCCAAGTGGGGCAACCAACCCAGTCGCCCGACCCTTCTTTCTCCATCACCTCTATCGCAACCGTCCATGTCCTTCATCTATGGGTACTTGCAAAATCCACTTATCTGATTACTTGGGCAGTCGCAGTGCTCAAGAAGTGACCATACGCCGTTTTTGAAGACTACAGTAAGCGGATATCAAGGCAGTGCTCGACCAGCATTCTTACTACGACTCTTAAGTTATCAGAAGACATATACCATTTCTCTCACAGCATATCCCGCTGGCGAACACCTGCAGACAAATATGATACACATTATTTCTTTTCCATGTCTGTCAATCTTTGTTGATTTTCCCTCGCATTCTGTCACTGCAACAGTCATGGTCATTGCTGTACCACCAACATCTCCGTCTCGTACGTCTAATGTCGTCACACGTCTCGAGAGCATTACAGAACATGGTAAGGTTCTGGACATGTGGATTACCTCCAAAGACATGTATGCATCATTCCTTGTATCCATGCAGTCCCAATGAATGTATACTTGCCTGTTGTCAAAGAACGGCTCTCCACTTAACGCAACTACCATGTCTCCAGGCCGACTGTCCTTGTTTGCAACGCCAGTATAACCACTTTCCGACAGGATAAGCTTTCATGGCGCCGTTCCTATACAGTTGTGTGGTGTCTGTGTTAGCTCCACCCATGTCATATGCACCACTTTTGTCTCTTTCCAAAGCACTTGTGCAATGCGACATCGTGCCTCAGACGTAAGAAATATGCACAAGTGCACCTCTCAACTGGAAACTATCATCTCCTAATATGATATACAAAAGTCGGTCCAGCCGCTTGCTGTGTCGAGAGGCGAATACATTGATCCGAAGATTCAAGTTTGTAGAGCAGCTTGTGACGCGACAAACGTCTGACTGCAAAAAAAACTTAGTGTGAACGTCTTACATGTGACAACGGCTATAGTTGGTCAAATATATGCACTGTTGCGCAATAAAGTGTGTGATAGAGACATGCGAAGAGCCTCAACACGTTTGGTGACTGCCAAATGTGCGGGGCAGGCTAAGCCAACCTCGGCATAGCTCAGGTGCATGTATCTCTCCTTGTCTAGACTGCGCGAGTAAGCCACATCCATCCATCATCTGATCAGCATATGAGCACTCCCGCTATCGTCCAAACTGTATCTGCTGCTCCATATTCTTTGCGTAAAAGCGGTACATTGATCTGGAAGTTGGAGCACGGTCACCATCCGGTCAATGACGCTCTGCTGGGTCAGCCACGCACTGTTGCCAAATTCGCCATGCCTAGTCTACAGTACATGCGACATTATTATCCCGAGGCGTCAAGTAAGGTTTGTATGCAAGTGACGCGGCTTGCATCAAGACCCTGCGAGGGTCCTGGACCGTACCGGTTACTGGGGATATCAAATCTGCGGGGAAAGGAGTCGACGATTGGAAGGTATCACGGGGGCAAGGGCGTGGCTTAGTCGATGCGGATCATTTGCTGACCCCTCGTTCTTCCGCATTCCCCCTTTGCATTCAACACTACGCCCCTCTCACTGAAACATGTGCAGCATGATATATGTCCATCTTCACCGAAGAAATCCCATGGCATGACAACGGTATACACATCCGCAAAGCCGCTTACAGGGAGCCATTATTGATGGCTTCTGGAGCTTCTGATGTGAACATCAATGACGAGGTGCTGAAGCAGCTAGTATGCTCCTTTCCTTGGAATCTGTGGTGTTCGGGTAAGGCCGTACGGCGGGTCCTGGCATTTATAGCCAACCGGGCTTTGGCGGAATGCATATCAGTGAACGTATCCGCGTCAACCTTGAGTGCGGCCATAGTTCCGCCTATCATCGCCTGTGATGAACATACCAGCGCCAAATACTGCGAAGACCTGGGCTAGCCGCGTACCTCAATCATCTGAATCATAGCGCAGAGCTGTCCTGTTATCTTTGGACAGCACGGCTAATGGTATCCGTGGGCGTTGTATTGTCCGTCTGCAAAGTATTGGCATCTGATAGAAGTCCAATCTGACTTCCAACCAACCAAGGAACTCCGAACAGTCCCGCGCCAAATGAGAGTTTCTTGACCTAGCTCTTACGCCGATATCGTGCGATACCCTTGCGGAGGTGACTGCAGGCGAAGGCCCTCGGAACAGCCTCGCCGATGTGTTGAAGAAACTCGACTGACATCGGTGCCGTCATATCCGTAGATGTATACCTTCATGAAAGCCTTGATCAATGCCCCCTCGCAGAGTGCATGTCGCCTTCAACAGGTTTGATGCGTATTCAATACCGAAACATATGTTGACTCTCACGGTTTACAGATATCCTGTGATTAGCTAGCAAAGTAATCATGGAAGGAATCTACGTGGCGGCAATGACTGCGGACTTGGCTGTGTCTTGAAGACGCAGAACATGCTTGATCGCCCTCAGCTGTACGGATTACTTACCGTTTACAAGTCGGGCTTACAATGAGTTGTCGGGCTTATCCACAGATGCTCCATAGTGTGACACGTAGTACCAATCTGGAAATTACTGTTATATGGTTCATCAACGGACCGACATCCATGCTGCTACAGGGGACGGCGAGATCAGACATGTGGTGTGGATAGAAAGTTCCCGCCCAGGTCGGTAATCGAATAGATGCCCACCGCGAGATGCACAATGCGCAGTCCCCGTAGCGAACCTAGGGTGAACATGGCTCAACCTGTTGAATAGGCCTACGAGGTCCAAATTCATCCAAAAGTGATTTCAATTTCTTCAACACGAGGCCGTCGTCGATAATCTCGCTACTGTTCAAATGTCAAGACCTTTCGGCCTTGTCGAGGTCGGCGATGAACATGTACAATCGTCCAGAAAGCCGTCGTGCTCCAATTTAGAACTATTTTGGAATGCGTAGAGGAAGGCATAAATTTTCCAGGATGAGGGTGTGAACGGGGAGAAGGGTGATCGGCGCATAAGGGGTGCAGTGGAGATGACCCATCTTTCGGTTATGTGGATGCCGCGCGTGGAATACGAGATCTTGCTGAGAAGAGGAGTTGACGCAAGAAAATGCTGCTCGTGTTGCGCTGGGATTTCAGCGCCAGCGAAAGTCTGGTTCGATGGCCGGCTGGCGTCTTCTGCTCCGATGACTTAGCGTAACTTAGTGACCAAGCCGACCTGGAACTAGCCTTATAAGGCGCAGTCTCCACCCCGAGCTGTCGCAAGAGAGGTCTGGGTATCTACGCTTGCGGGCATTTACGCTGGCACTGGAAAACAGGACGGCGAAAACTTGCTCTAGAACGCAGTTGATTCCCACTTTTCCATGTTGCAGCTAGTTGCCAAACCCATGTTGCATTGGCGGATTGCACTACTACACCATGTACCGGTACCGCACATCCGCGCATCCCCCAGAGATCAGCGTCAGGGCTCCTTTGATCCTCTTCCCCGGCCCTATGGGCGTTTCCCCCCTACCATGTCGAAGCACCGGGGAAACTTTTCCATGTTTTGTCTGATGGGGCACAGCTTCCCGTCCATCTCCAGAAGTCGTCAGCGCGTGTTTCACCAGCAACCATGTTCCCTGAAGCTGGAACAGTGGAACCTGTCTGTCTCCAACGTTCGCCCAGAGCTAGCAGCCCTGTCTAGAAACGTCCAAATCTCGTCAAACTGATATGACAACAAGGCATCCATGGTGAGCTTGGAGCGATGTGGTTGGTGTGAGCACAGAGCACGTGGTATGGCCCCCTTCGGTGCCATTGCGCCGCCTCTAGTACGCCATTTGACCGCATGTAAAACCGAGCAGGCGGAACTCGAGGAGAGAACGAGTTCCGGATTATTGGGAGTCGCATTGATTACTGAGATGTAGTGGATCCTTGGATGCACTGTTAGGACCCATGGTCGAGTCTTGCACCTTGTGACTAAGAAAGGTTTCAACACGACCATTCGGTGACGCGAAGGCAGCATTGACAGCTCGTCTAGGCAGCTACAATGTCATTACGTAGCTTCCGTCGTCGATTTTTGGTGTTGCGGGCCATCACTCAAGGCCTTAAGCATTGACAGGAGCGGTGCAGGAGCGAATCACCCCGCACGGAAGACTCGCCACACCTACCCACCACTATCGCCAAAACCCCAGCAATTCCCCTGCCATGGCCTAAAAAACATGACATGCGCTATAGAGTGGGACAACGCCGTCGCCGGCGTCGCGTGTCGTAACGAGTCTTCGAAAATAGGAACTTGCTGCTTACCGCCAGCGTAGCGTAACTTTCATACGACCACACCTCTCAATCATGTCCAAGCATGTTGGGAGCCAGATTTTATGCAATGACGGCTGATTTATTCGGCCAGATCGATCAACGAAGATCTATATGTAAGGATGTGGATGCGCACAGTGCACATCACCCGCGAAAAGGATTCTCTAACTTACCCTGTCAAGCTAAAGTATCGGAGCTTTGCAGATGGATCCCGTTCCGCAGAGACGACTAGCCAGGCACTTCCACTACGGATGCACAATTCATCGGGGTTGTTTACGGTGGCGCAATAGGCGAAGAGACTGCCCGTCGGGCTCTCTCAGTTACCCACAAGGGCTGTTACCTGTAGCGAATGAAGGCAGCGCCTTTCAAACGATGGCCAGGTTTACCAAATCGCAAACTTTATTTCGACTCAAGGGTCTGTCAAGTCGATGCTTCATCTCCTGCAGGCTTCTTAGCTTCCGTTATGGAGCCAGCCTTCCGGTTCGACCAAAATGGAGAATATCTTCGCATCTGCTACCATAGCCTACCCATCAGTCCCCGTCGAGTAAATGCAGCATCGGTTGCACTGAACCTACTTTTTGTGTGAGAAGACATACATCGCCATCATTCACGGACTGGCTGTTGACGTCCGACGATGCGCGAATTTCATGATGACCCTTCGTTCCAACCATGGGGCCCATTCATTTCGCCTACGTACAAACTAGAGCCAATAACGAAAACCGACATCATCATCGCATCCGTCGTATGGGGGTTGACGCTCGTTAATGTTATACTGGCGATATTTCTCGGCTACAACCAAACGACCGCATCACGAGCCCCGCTGAGGAGCGTATACGTTTGGATGATATGGCTAGAACTGGGGGTTTCATTTCTGATGGGGCTTGAGTGCTTTTTGCACCTATTCAAGATCATCAAGCCGAGTAAGTATTGTCGTTGTCATTACGCGGCCGAATGCTAACGGATGTCCAGGCTTTGCATTCTACTTTTCAATCCTGTTCTGGTGGTGTATCCAAGTTCAGCTTCTTCTTCAGATCATCATCAACCGCATCCGCGTTATTGTACCCGACCGCAGGCGCTCGAAAATGATCATGATTGTCACAGCGGTATTCGTGACCGCCATCAACATTAGTGTGTTCAACATTTGGATTCCGGCGCGATTGCAAATTAGCTCAGAGTAAGTGGGTTCATAAGCAACGCAACAAAGACGATGAACGGAAATATGTGCGACACCTCCGCATGAATCTCATATCTTCTTCAACACTCCCAGCTACTGTTCACGACGAGCTAACACGGAGTAGATACCATTATATCAACGAATGGTGGGACAGAGTCGAAAAGGGCCTTTATCTCATTGTTGATGCTATGTTGAACTGGTACTTCTTACGAACCGTCAAATCCAATCTCATCAACAACGGCCTTACCAAATACAACAAGCTCGTGCGCTTCAACCAGAAGATGGTTATTGTCTCGCTTCTAATGGACGTCATGATCATCGCGGCGATGTCAATCCCGAACTCGTTCGTGTAAGTAACCTATCTCCTTTAGAATATAAATCTCAATAACTGACTCACTACCATCCAGTTACATTCAATTTCACCCCCTTGCCTACCTCGTCAAGCTCAATATCGAAATGACAATGGCCAACCTCATCAAACGCATCGCAATCTCCACCTCCCGGAAGACTGGCATGGCATCCATCGCAAACGAATTCAGATCCTCGTCAAATATGTCCGCCACGCATCACCAAGCCGGTACAGCAAACCACGCCCACTGCGCTTCTGCCAGCCACGAACTCTCCAGCTTCCACAGCTACACCATCGACACCAAAGGCAGCGACCGCATCATCAGCTTCGCGCCCACTGGCAATCAGATCAAAGAAACTAAGGAAGTCATCGTGCACACTGAGCCGAATCCAGACTACATGAGAAGGGCCTCTGAAGTGGAGATTACGGGTGGCCATGCAGTGAGTACGATGGAATTGCATGTTGAAGATAGGGGGCTGGGCAGGCAGATGAGTCTGGATGATATCACAGAGGGCAATGAGAGTTTGAAGAGTTGTGCAACCGAGACGCCCAAGAGGGCGTATGATAGCGATGATGAGGCTCAGCTTGTAAATCAGAAGGCTTGGGGGTGGGCACCTGGACGGCAGAGCTGATACTGATGTTTGTCTATATGGAACCGTTTCTTTTGTTGCATATGTTTCTGCATGGGCTGTTACCCTGTGTGGTTCATTTCCTAAAAGTTGGGTTCCTCTGTCTATCTTGTTCGTTCTATGGTCTATGGGATGGGAGGAGTCTTTGTCTACTGGGCTGTGGCGTTTAGGGACAATGATACCTGGTAAAGCTTTGAACGCGTTCAGTCGCACGGTTGGTGGTGCTCGGGTACATGGTCACTGGGCTACAATCAATGCATTCTTCCTCTTACTAAGGTCTCTAGAATATCGTTCTCTTCCAGCGCGGTGTCTGAGTCGCTCGGAAAACAATCCCGGTAATGTTCACGCCTTTCCCCGGGGATCTGCTAGTTAGTGCTCAAGACGCACATCGCGCCCATAGCTGACGTGACATTGGTTCAAGCCAGCCACATGGGATTTTGAGGTCGGAGGTTTGTAATTTAAGTTTATGATCCTGGCAAGGGGCTGCGGAGGCTGGGGTAAGTTGTCTTAGCGTATGGAAAGTCTATATGAATCACCTTATCGTAATTTTGAAAAGGGCAAGCGATGAATGCAACGATAAAATATATAGCCCGACTGATAATAATTGGATGCCTAGTTGTATACATTGATGTTTCTATGATACGAACATACTCTGAGTAAGATACCCATTGAAGACACAATCTTTTCCCAAACGCCCAGGTTTGCCCGCGTTGTCCTACATTGCTCGGTCGAGCGGCTGAAATATTACTGGTGTTCTAGAACCTCTTCTTTACAATCGCCAGCTCATCAGTATACTAGCGCACGCTATCCAAGGTATGTGTCATCAGTGACATCTTAACAACGCCCCCAACCACGAAAAGCCAATTGGCATGAACCAGTTCCCTCCTATGACTGTAGTTTTAGTTTAAGCTGAGCCTCATACCGCGGAGCACTAGCTGAAAGTCATGCGCCCAACCTCCCAGTTCCCTTTTACGATGATTGACTTCGACTTTCAAACGAAAATGTTAGCCAACTCGATACTTCCCGTTCGTTTCTTGCCCACTTTTTCCAGCCAATATTTGCGTTGGTTGCGCGTCCACTCGAGCAGGGCTGATCTGCTGTTCTTGCTGTTCTTGCCGTTATTATCAACCTCCTTGGTGATTGTGGAGCGGACGGAGCGGGCCTCGTCCCAGGAGGAGGATTCTCGCTCCTGTCCAGAGTTTCGGGTGCGTGTGATGAAATGTGTCGCGCCACAGCGCTTTCCACAAAAGCGATGAGCCCATGAGCAACATGTGCAGCATGTGCAATTTCTTCAGGGGTGGGAAAAGATCTTCTGATACCCTGGATGTTTCGACGGTTGGCTCACCCTTCCAATGATTCGATTTCTTTATGCGAATCGAGGGGACTGAACGCTACAAGCAAGCCCTGGTGAAATTCCAACGCGGACGTCTCATCACTGCTCCCATGGTGAAGGAACCAGGATACTATGAACTCATTGTCGACACCGAGCGATTGCAGAACGATGACGCGCCCGAACAGCCTTGTTTCCAGGTCTTCGTTCCAATCGGGTTTATGTTGAGTTTCCAGGACTTCTTCGAGCTCCACTTTAACCTCGCCGGATTTTGTTGGAGAGAGTGGCTTGTCCCGTTCGACAAACTGGTTACATGTGCGAAGATCTATCCTCGCGAGGCGTGCGGAGTATGGCTTATCTGTGTGCCCATCGGCAGGTACCGCACTGAGAACTAGATACTAGTTGATAGAGATAAGCAGTGCGGCGGATACAAGATACTCGGTTATTTACGTTGCGGTCAATGATGAGTACCTAACTGCCACACAAGCATTGTTGTAGTATCCTATGTTGTGCAGTGTTGACGTGAATGCCTATAGCGTTCCTGTAAGGCTGTCAGAAGTGTCACTTGTTGCAACAAACATGCCTACTGCTTCTTTTTGGTCTATTTCAGCCTGGATTGATCTTGAACCGAGCAAGTATACTATTCCTTTTCACTAAGAAGAGTGTATTAAGATGAACTTGGGTAGTTCTTTCAGCACGGTTGAAGTTGCGGAAGGTGAGAAGTGCTGCTGTCAGATTCATCTGAGCAGCAAAGCATCTGCTTCATAGCACCCATAGAAGCTGATAATATAGTAACAAAGATAATGATCTGATAATTTTCTGAGTGTACACATCCTCCGCGTCGAGCCAACAGACAGTGCTGCGGCCTGTTTTTGACCAACATCTCAATGGCGAAGGCATTCTTACGTGTACGTGTGAATGCAGTCTCTCACATCTCGAACATATGTATTCAGTATATGGATACTCCCGATCAAGGCTGAGCATCCGACCACGTCTGCTGTCGGAAGTCTTGGCTCTCGGACTCTCGCAACCCGACCCAGATTAGGAAGTGCTTGCAGGAGTCACATCATCTGTTCCAAAGAACATTGTTGTGAAGCATCTTCCACTATATCGAGACGGATCAGAGCTGAAGTATATAGAGTAAGCGATGGCCCATACTAGGTGAAAGAGTTTATCTTCGTGACACCTAGGCATCCCAAAGGGTTAAGTGCGCACTAAGCCGCATTGCGTAAGGGTCATTCTGCCACCCTATTGTTTTGAGCGCGCAAGCTATGAAGCTTGTACTCGCAACATTGAGTTGTACATTGAGTGATCAGAGTGGGCCTAAATGGTGTTTGGTGACGCTGAATTTGTAATTTCTGCCACCACTGTATTGGTCTCACAACACCAGGCCTACAGCTGTTGGAGATAAAAGTTAGGAAACAGGAACGATGCAATTTCGTGTCTTAAAGCGGGGTATGTTGGGGTTGTGGCTTACACGAGCGCATGCTACAAAATCATTTCCCGGATACATGGCTGTTCCCCGCACTTGCTTCCGAGGAAGGTTTGCCGAGTATCCACAACACGCTTCAGGAAAACGAACGCTTGGCTGTTTAGACGCGTATACGGATAGCACGAAGATGGTATCCCGTTTTATAGGTCTGCTTACGTATCATATGAGTTGGGTGTGTCTTTAAAGGCTTTCTCTGCGTCTCCTGGTGCTGCTGCATCCTTACGAACACTTATCGTCTACTTCATTCACTTCAAACCTGATCTCACGTCATTACACGAACAACAGACATGGGAGTTGGCGATATTTCTATCCGCTCGAGCGAGCGTCCCGAGGCAGGCTCCGTAAATATACAACTTGGCAAGTTCCCAGCATCTTCGAAAAATGAGTCTGTCGACGCACACAAAGTCGCGAACGAGGTAGTCGGCCGCTTCAATGACGCACTCTCGAAACAGAATCACTCTGGCATAGCCGACCTCTTCTTCAAAGACAACAGTTACTGGAGAGATCATTTAGCCTTGACTTGGAATCTCAGGACTGTCAAGGGCAACGCTGCCATCAAGGAGTACCTGCACTCTAGCAAGGTGCGATTGGAGAAGATCGAAGTAGACAAGAACACGGACTACCGAGCGCCAAAATTCGGAGCTATTGACAATCTTGGGGATGTCAAGGGCATCAACTTTTTCGTCACGTTTGAAACGACTGTTGGACGTGGTGCGGGTGTCATGAACCTGGCTGAAGATGATGGCCAGTGGAAGATTTTCACCTTGTACACGCTCTTGCAAGAGCTCAAGGGTCACGAAGAGCCTCTTGGTCACAGGAGAACAAAAGGTGTCAAGCATGGCGGTGACCCAGCAAGGAAGACTTGGAAAGAGAAGCGCGATGCGGAGAAGGAGGAGATTGATCCTACGGTGCTGATACTGGGAGCTGGACAGGGTGGGTTGACGGTGGCTGCGCGCCTGAAGATGCTCGGAATCCCAGCTCTCATGATCGACCAAAACGAAAGGGTTGGCGACAATTGGCGCAAACGCTACCGGCAACTCGTGCTGCACGACCCAGTTTGGTACGACCATCTGCCCTATGTGCCCTTCCCTGCGCATTGGCCTGTCTTTACGCCAAAGGATAAGCTTGCAGAGTTCTTTGAGGCTTATGTCACCCTGCTGGAACTCAATGTATGGACTTCCACTAACCTCAAATCAACCTCGTGGGACGAGAACAAGAAGCAGTGGACGGTAACCGTAGAGCGTCGAATGCTAGACGGCAGTTCACAGACCCGCACGCTACATCCCAAGCACATTGTGCAAGCGACGGGCCATTCTGGCGAGAAGAACTTTCCTAAAATAAAAGGCATGGAAACCTTCAAAGGTGACCGTCTCTGCCACAGCTCGGAGCATCCTGGCGCGGACCCTGAGTCAAAGGGGAAGAAAGCAGTAGTCGTTGGCTGCTGCAACTCAGGCCATGACATTGCACAAGACTTCTTTGAAAAAGGTTACGACGTCACCATTGTTCAACGCAGTACAACCTGCGTCGTTTCATCCGAAGCCATAACCGACATTGGCAACAAAGGACTCTACGACCAAGATTCGCCGCCTGTTGATGATGCCGACCTTACTTTTTGGAGTCTGCCAAGTGAGCTCCTGAAGACGCAGCAAAGCAAGGTGACCAAGACCGAAGCGGATCACGACAAACAAATCCACGATGGTCTTCGTGCCGCCGGCTTCCAAATTGACAGCGGACCCATGGACTCAGGCCTTCTGATCAAGTACTTCCAGCGTGGTGGAGGCTACTACATCGATGTTGGCGCGTCCCAGCTCATCATTGATGGTAAGATCAAGGTCAAACAGGGTCAGGAAATCGCGCAGATTCTGCCCAACGGCATCGAGTTTGCAGATGGCGACAAAATCCAGGCTGACGAAATTGTATTTGCGACTGGATACCAGAACATGCGCACCCAAGCACGCAAGATCTTTGGAGATGAGGTGGCAGATCGGGTCAGCGACGTTTGGGGATTCAACGATGAGGGCGAGTTTCGAACTATGTGGCAGAAGAGCGGACACCCTGGACTATGGTTCATGGGCGGTAACCTGGCGCTCTCCAGATACTACAGTAGAATCTTGGCAATACAGATCAAGGCTATCGAGGAAGGCATCATGTAAGACGCCGAGGGCGCCAAGGCAAGGTCGTAGTCGCATGTAGTGGATTCAATCGTGGCACAACAGACATGGTGTCGGGCAACCGTATTTTGACGTGGTTGGTTTGACCTGCCGCCCGGAACCCCAAATGCACTACTTTCGGACTTAGCGCGGGGTAAACCTCCATCTTCGGTCTTCTAGAATAGCACAAGCTCCAAATCATCTCCAAGCACTTGCACTTCTTTTCTCCACACTTGCGCGGCCCAAAGGAGGTTTCTATGCTTTTTGCGCCATGTCGGGCAAGCCTCAAGTCATTCTCGTCGTCGGCGGAACCTCCGGCATTGGCTATTCCATAACGCAATCCATTCTGTCCTCGCCATACCTTCCTCTGAATGCAAAGGTCATTGCGTTCGGTCTCATCGACTCCACAATCAAACTTGAATTCACCAAGCAACAAAGAGAACGCTTACGAATTGTTGAGGGCGATGTCACTGTCGATGAAGACCGCGAACTAGCGGTGAGGACCTGCTTCAATGTTTTCGGAGGTTTGGACACCCTCGTGTACTGTGCAGGGATCATTACACCGATCCAAACGTTTGAGAAGCTGAACATTGAAGCTGTCAAGAGAAGCTTTGATGTCAATGTTTTTGGAGCAATGAGTATGGTATGATAAATCTCCAGTCAAGTAGTTCCCCACGTTTAGAGGCTAAACTACGACAGGTCCAGCTCACACTTCCGCATCTTCGTGCTTCACGGACCTCACGTCCCCTTAATGCCGGTCGCGGCAAGGTGATTATTCTCACCTCTGCCTGCGACAATACCGTCACTTACCATGGATGGATGCCCTACAGTACTACGAAAGCCGCACTAACCCGATTTGTTTCCTGTCTCGCGCATGAAGAACCCCTTCTGAGCGTACAGGGCGTCTATCCAAAACTTACGCGCACAAAAATGATTGATGGACTGGTAGAGGGCAAGTATAGAGGTGTTATGGCGGAACATGAAATGGAGAGGTTCAGGATTTGGGATGAGATGGGGGATGAGATGATAGAGCCACCGGAGTGGTGTGGAGAGGCGGTTGCGAAGATGGCATTGGGTTTGTTTGAGGGTGGGAAGAGCGGTGAGACCTTGTATTATGACGAGCATGTTCCACGGAAGATTACAGGTACATGATACAGGGGGATGGGTCGCGACAAAACTATCATATTATTATGCGTTGATCTGCTAGCAGCAGAAGCACCTACATTTCAGCTTTCTTAATTGAATTACGGTTATATGATTGGTGTTCGTTATACCAAGTACATAAGCAATTCCTGGGTATAGCAATTAGTCCAAGTCTTGAGAAACTGTAGAAGACGATTGTTAGGTGAGCTTGGATGAAACAACAAGAGAGAATATATGGCCAGAGTAAAAACGCTCGGTAGAGCTCTCGTCGAAACGTGTAATCGATAGTTCTTCAGCTTGGTAGAAGAAAAACCATACCTGATTTACAAATTAGTTTCTACTTTGAATTACAGAACTTGTGCTTAGCTGTTAGATAATCCTACTATGGCGCCTCGGTTGATGAGCCCAATCGATCGAAACGCACCATGACGCGTAAGCAGGTATTAACAGCGATGAAAAACATGTTTGAGGAAGTCCAACGGGAAAAGTACAGGGATGAGATTGATTACAACACCTTGAAGCCGCCAGCAGCGATATGGGCAGCGTACAAGACGAATCGTATGAGCGCACATGATCAGAGACAAGATGATTGCAAAAAGGCCACTGAAGGCGAAGAATCCAACCAGAACAATGGCTAATATGAAGTGCTCGTCAAGTCGAAGATAGTGCACGAGTTCGGCGGCATTGTCCTCTGGTAGAGATGGAAGCAGCTGTAGTCGAGGAAAAGTAGAGGTGGGAGGAAGTAGTACAGAAAAGAGAACCAGTGGTGATTTTGCGCGATCATATGTAGGCAGAGGGCGAAATAGTGGTAAAGGAGAGAAACCAAAGACATTGTAGTACATTAATGTGTACCTTACATACATCTACATCATCGCGCAAGATTCAGCCACGAAAGCTTTTGTAATGTGAGAGTAAACTTCTTGAACACTCTTTGCACTCTGTTTATAGTATCTTCCAATCCGGAATGAGATTGGGTAGATGGTAAAATCATCTATATACCTTACAAATTCTAGCTAACAGGTACTTCTGTAAGGCGGCCAATCGCGTTGGGGAGACGGATACTGTAGATTCCGGTAGCACCTAGGTGACATAAACACTTTATAGCTACAATTTAGGTGAACCCCAATATTGTATCCCTGGCAGGCATATATGTAGCTTAGAGTAGCTTTTGTATACTAATATGTCAAGTATTCCATGTCACCTAGGTGGGAGAATGGAAAACACAGTCTTCTACAATTCAGAAAAAAAGGTTCCTGGGATCCTTTCAGGAGCAATATGAGATATCAAGAACGATTATTGACAGGTTGCGTGCATCTACTGGACAGGAATCTAGTTGGCATCAGTTGGCAGCACTATGTTAGCTACATTAGCTGCCGCCCTCGAGGCACTCGCGGGCGAGCTATTACATTGGCCGTGTCATCTCGTTACCAATTCATCGCCCAGTACAGCATTCATGCCTTAGTTGATCGATGGACATCGCCTTACCTCGGTCCACAACCGTGCTAGTAGCCGACGCGAGCATATGCTGTCTGTGTTCATTACAAGCACCACAGTCCGCAACAATCAATTAAGTGGGTCCTAGAAGGTTCAGATTGGATTGATTGATTACCGCTTTAAGCCTAGTAGTTACCTATAGGAGTTTAAGCCCTACCTAGATAGGTAAGTGGGTCTAGGAGAGTGACCGGATTGAATTGATTGTTGCGGAGTCTAACAAGCACGCTATGTACCATTTTGGGGAATCTATTTTGTTGCCCTTTGTAGCGGTGTGAGGAGAGGAGGACTGCGTTGCATTGTGTAGCTATGGAGGAACTGCAGCTATATAGGTGTGTGTGATGAGAAAGTGTGGTAGCGATAGCCGTACCCAACTCTCACCCAAGTCGGTCTTGGCAAGTCCCAAACCGTTACACCCTTGAATAAGAGGTCGGTACACTGTTTTTTGGGAGAGCTTACATATCCGCATACTATAAACTCTGGTATCAGTAAAAAACGCGAGACATATACATTGTGTGTAGTGGTAAATTGACTCACAACGAAGACAATTAATCGACTTCAGGCTAGGGATTCGATTCGATTGCGAATTGCTGCGTCGACTGTAGAAAAACAGTTCAAACCCGAAGGCAGAGCTTACGCGGAAGGATCCTTGTCCGCGATATTGCGTTGCTCATCAAGGTGATCAGAAAGAATGTGGTCTACTAGATCTGGATTCCTCGGTAGTCTCCCCGGCCAGCCATGAACGTGGATCATTGGTTACAGAGAAAAGCATGTATTCCTCGGATCCAGTTGGAAGTGTGTGAGATTTTAGCAGTGTCAGCCGTGCCTAGGCGTTTGAGATCGGTCGAGAGTGTTGGTCTTTGTTGGCCCACGTCGTCCTGATCCAGGCAATCGTTCCCACGAGGATACATGGTTGCCATTCGTTGGGACCCCTTGGCTAATATATTGTAAGCCTCCCACGAGCGAAAATCTACGGTTTGAGGATTACATGGCTGAAATTGAGTTTCTGAGCTCAATTGCGTAAGACAAGAGAGGCGCAGCATTGACCTCCACGACTAACCCCGCGGAGAGCCCAATTTCCAACCCAGCAAACCCCCGGTGTGCATCTTCATATTCTAAAGAATTAGGGTGCTCAAAAGATAAGGCCTTAGATTGTCCAGTATGACACCGATTTCCATGGTTCGTGTCGCGACATTCAGCAGACATCAGTACGCGCGTTGGCTGCGAGCGGAGTCAATGACTGCTCGGCATTCATCATTATATAAGACATCAGCTTTGTTAGACCTATGATGGTTCTAGCATCCAAATGCATTGCTGTACTGTCGATGATGAACAGGGTGAGCGAAAGGGCCGAAGAGTGATGCGCCAATCGCAGCACCTGGGATGCATCGCATCAGGGGCACAATCAACATGAGGTCTGTACCTTTAGGAATGCGGTATAGAATTCCATTCTGTCTGCCCAGGTTAGTATTGGAGGATGCTGGGTTTAGTCTGGTGAGACGAGTACGAGGGTTTGTGAGGCCTTTGGTTCTTGCGAAGATCTCTGGTCCGTACCCCCGAGGGTCATAAAATACTTGACATAATAGTGTACAAGGGCCACTGTAGTCGCCAGACACGCCTATTAAGTGCTTACCCACACTTTCAAGTATTTTATGATACCCAAGTGGTATCCTATTTGGACCTGAGTTCGAAGTGAGCATTTGGACCCATGGAGTCAGTAGAAGACATGATTTGGAATGTAATACCGTAATATAGAACATACGATGACAAAGCTCGATATCGATGATGTAGAAAGCTCGGATTGACTGAGAAGGCTACTGATGACAAGACACGGGCTACAGTGCTGACTTGCAGTAGTGGAAACAACATTTGATACGGTGGTGTCTTCCAGTAAAGCATTGGCGTCGCACGCATGTGTGGCCCCCAAGAGACGTTGACGTAGTCTATCTCCAGCACCACGTCTTACCCTTGGGCTGTGAGCATGATTGTCGAAAGTCCCAAGAAAAATGCGTCAATTGGGCACCAGTTATAGCCCTGCTAACAAGCGCGCAGTTTTCTCCAGGGTAAATCTGGAAACGCACAGTATCTGGTGTTTGCATGCGAAGCTTACGACACTCCCGGAGCATGGTGGTGACTTGAACAGCGAATCAGCGCTACAAAATGCCCTCAGCGCATAACGAGGAGTTGCTTCAATGCGATAACAGCAGTGATGCGTGAGGGCCAGGGAGTGATGAAGTCTTCAACGTGATTGTTGGAGAAGGCGCCAAGGCTTTGTGACTGTGCGGATTGGGCACCCATCAATGACACCTTTTTTCAATATTGCGACTTAATACTGTGACTTGGTACGGCCATCACGCCCAAAGTTCCCTAGTTGAGTCTGTTATCGCATTTTGCCAGATCTGCATGGGCGAGTCAGGGGGGAATGACGTCATGGAAGCCGAACCTAGGTAACACAACAACACCAAGCGCAGAGTTGGCGAACAACCAACATGTAGACATGAGAGGGACGATGTGATACACTCAAGTAACGTGAAATACTTTTCTATCGGAAAGCTTGTCAGCATACATTGTCGCGGGTAGCGCCACGCAATCACGTTGATGGTGAGCGCTTCCGCGCCTGAAACATAGAGGATCCTACCAAATCATCGCTAAGTCGAGGAGCTGCCACGTCGGAGACGGCACGTGACACACCTCAATCCTTGCGCAAATCGCTTCACCGCTCGCCCAATAAACAAGGCACAGAGAGTCAAACACGAGAGCTGGCTGACAGCGCAAGAAGTTAGAGTCACAGCGGGCAGATTCCAGTAACTTATATCTTCCCGCTGTAAAGTCATGTGTTGGATGCATTCACTTACACCATAACTTCTGCACTTCATAATTCAGAGTCTTCTGCTCCACCGTAAGCAACAACTGAATGCCTGTATACCTCAATTTACTGTGCTATTCAATCCGATCATCGATAAATTACGTCATCGCTGCCGACCATCGCGATCACTGATAGAGGCGCTACCAAAGAGTCGCTATCATGTGTTATCACAACTACAGTCAACACAACGGCTGCGGACATATTGGAGAGTCGCATAATCAGCCATGGACGCTGTGCGACGTGGCTGTCCAGAGGCTGAATGGCCTCCGTGGACCAGGCTCCCCACCAGTATCTCCGCCAGCGACAGCCCCACCAAAGCGTACCTCATCAACACGGCGATTCTTCTCATTGAGTGGGCAGCTTTCACGCTCTTCCACAAAAGCATCGTCGTCATCATCTCGACGCGCAGCCTCTGGACCATCAGGTGCAGCCACACCCAGAACTTCACAGTCTAGTGCGGGTTCTTACACCTATACTGCAGTGTTGGATTACTCCACCCTACCAGACCACCAGCTCGTGGCTGTGAAATGCGATGCACCGGTGAAGCGCACCCATGTCAGTAGAGACATGGCTGTCTGCAAAGGCTGTGCACGCTGGATCGGCCAGATGCGCCATATGATTCAACGGTACGACAAAACTGGTAGCATACGTGGCACCAGCGCGTTCGAAAAGTTTCTAAAGTGGGAAGGAGAAGGCGGAGGAGAAAGAGAGGGCGATCTGACCATACCGCTGGACGACGAGGATCAGGGCGGGCCCTTTGGAGCGAGGCAAGCTATCATCTTGGGTCATCCTGAAAGCGCCATGAATGCTAAGGGACCGAAGGGGCTGGGGACCCTGGAAAGGGAGTTGGACGACCGCTATCGGTATTGAGCGAGCAATGGGTTGGGTACGAGGTGAGGAGAGGGAATTATGTTGTAACTTGTATGTATTGCGAGGGAGGTACTTGACTTGAGGGTTTTTTAGGTGGATACTTATTTTTAGTCAAATACGACATGCTTGCATTGTACCATCGCCCGCATGGGTGGTCCGGTAGTTCCCGCGCACTGGTGCTGGCACTAACGTAAGTATGAGTTAACGACCGAGACGCACCAACAATGACCAACGGCCCGCAATGCTGTTAAACCCCGTGTTATGCAGAGCCGCTCTCTCGGGGGGCCGTAGTCCAGGCAAATTCAGGGTTTCGGACCAACATGTGCGCACCCCATCAGGCCAGACTTGCAGGCTCCCAAGTGCTGTGATTAGCTCGGTAGAGAACTCCATGTACTTTCCATAATCCTTCGGGCGGTCCGGTCAGTTGCGCAGGAAGCGCTCCATGTTTCGACAAAAGCTGTTCTTTCAACGCCGCAAGTCGCCAATTTCCCTAAACCCACGCGTGAGTTTCGCCGACTGCGCCACCCATCATCAACACCGATTCGCCGTTTCTTCCTCATTGGGAATCGGCGTGAAGTGGGTGAAGGCAGGTGTTGTCCCTGCAGGTTGAAACAAGGGATACATTACATTGCTATGAAGCTCGATGCACGGCCTTGAACTTGCTTTCTGCTACTGTACCCAAAGCTACCAGAGAAGAATAGGAAAGAGGAGGCCTGGAACCATGACGCGAGGGAACGATGTTGAGGCACAACCACGCCATGCTACAACCACTTTTTAGCGCGACTTTTTGCTGCATTTCGCCGAAAAATCCAGCTACAATCAACACCTCTGCCAGCTTCTTTCCCAAAACAGTAGATTCTACAGCTACAATCCGGCTTTGTGAGGAAAGTCCCCGAAAACAAAAAGACCTCGATTCGAGAAGTTCCGCGGGCAAAGCATCCGTGGCTGTTGAACCACGCATATGCATATGCAACGTCACCCCCATTACAGCCTTCCTTTGGGAATCCCACACCAATCCTAGCGATCGGAATTTACGTCCTAGCCATTGACATCACAGCCCCTCATCCTTCCATGCACCCGCTCATGCAGAACCCCTGACTTGTGATCCGTGATCGCCGCGGACGCACCGCACCGCCTTAATCCCATGACTTGCAATCTCGATTCGATTTCCCAAACCGAGAAGCTATGGTGAAGTTGGATAGTTCATGCATGTGAAATCGGGTCTTCACTCCGGCTGTTATCCATACCGTCTGTCGGTCAATTTCCTGAACGAGTAGTAAGCCGCGGGCACAACTCCCGCTGTTTATTGTTTTCAATTGCCAAGCCCGGTTGTGCTGTGCTCAAGTTGGTAAATGGTGGATTTTGGTTCCCCGGGTTTCTGGTGCCGATGGGTTACTGAGAGCGTATTGGCTCGGTCGAATGACCGCAGGTTTCGATGCCTCTGGTGAGAGTTACTCAATTTGGGGTGTTGAGGTGTTGTGATGGGTTTCAGGGGAGGGATGAAGTTCTGTAGTGAACAGGATTGGGTCGGCCTTGTGTCCGCAGTCTTCAATGCTGATGTATGGAAATTACCCAAGTTAGATAAATGGCTGCATGTAGAACTTCCTGGAAGTCTTTAGTTGCTCTGAAAGCGCCTATTGGGTCGGTCTCATGTCCGCAGTAATCGATGCTTTTTTGTGACTTTCTACATAGAGAACACTGTGACCTCCGCGGCGGCCGGGCATTGAAGTATGAGGTTACAGATGCTATCTTCATTACTAGTACCACCTGGGTGACATAAGATGCTTAATATACTAGTATATAAAGGCCATTGTAGGCACCAGACACACCTATTGGGTACTTACCCGCACTGTCAAGATTTTATGTCACCCGGGTACTGCCATCAGACTGTTCAATGCGATGGTGCATCTTCCTGAGTGTGGCCGTGATGAAAGACGGCATAGACAGGCACAGATGGGCATGGTATGACCCAAATGCCACGATGCCCACTGCAGCTCTAGAACGGAGGAATTATCACGCACAAAAGAAGATCCCTGTCTGACTGTTTTCTATCAACCTCTCCCTAGGCCTGAGAACTGCAGAGATAGACTCCATGCAGCTGGACCTGACTGAAAGATGGCAAAATCCTGTACAGTAGACATAGCACTTTTTACCATCCAGCCCTCCATGCGATGATATTTCTATGCACATGAGCAATCACACAATAAAACGTCCCGTAGAAACCGGGACTCAGGTCCACTCATAATTCACTACACCTCACAAGAAAAACTCCCTTATTACATTTGACACTATCACAACATTGACTATCACCACACTCTTCAAAAATGTGGCCTTTCACTTCCCAGTCCGACTGCCAAGTCCCCGTAACCCACACTTCCCACCCACTACTTTTCCGCCCGTCACCCCCATACTTGTCTAATCTAATCCATATACTCTCAACCTCAACTATCAACCCACAACCTTCAACCCCAAACCATGTGCACAGAAATCTACACCCACTACATCCGCTGCACACACAAACAGCTGCAACGCTGGGACTACTGCGCAGTTCTCATGCCCGCCGACCGCATCCCCAGGACCGGCCGCGCATGCCGAAGATACAAACTACGCCACAAAGACACATTCAACAACGACGCATGTTATGAGTGCCTGCGCGAGCGAGCCATTGCTGAAGCGACTGGTGCCGTGTTACCCCCTTCTCCTCAACGAGCGGGTGTGCAGGCAAGGGGGTTGTTTGCAATGAGTGACACATTTTCTACGTTGGCGGGGAGTACGAGTATGGGAAGTGTGTTTGTAAGGGACAAGAGGGGGAGTAAGGATAGTGCGGGGAGCTTGGCCCAGAGTGATGGGCCGGGGAGTCCGGTGAAGATGGCGTGGGAGAGGGATGAGGAGGAAGATGGGCACGAGGAGAAGAAGAAAAAGGGAATAAAGGGGTGGTTCAAGCAGGTTTTGCAGGGCACTGAGATGGACCGGGCTGAGGCGGCGTCTATGGCGTTCCAGTTTCCGAGGATGGATGCATGAAGCGTGGTGACTACCGGAATCTCAAACTGGATGATGGCTATGGTTATACGAGTGCTGGGTGTATACATTGATGTCTTGTATACCTAAACATCAAGGGTGGAGTGCGATGTAGTATCCAGGACCAATCATCTTGTATAGCGATTTAAACTATATAGCTCATCCGGAAGGGATTCAAATACCTAAAACAGTTTCGTTTCGAACTTCTCTCGTAGACGCTCGTACTTCTTCACATCACCAACACTAGGCCGTACGGTCTTGGCTGCCTCCACGAAGTCGATATACTCTACTGAATCTCCGCGTCTTCTCAAGGCATGTTGCCCCGCCTTGCGCAACAAACTCTCCAGGTCAGCACCGGAGAAGTCCTTACAAGCATCTAGCCTAGCTATTTCGGCCAGCTCGGGGCTAATAAGCCCCCCACGTTGACGAATAAGAGCCTTGAGAATATCCACACGCTCTTCTGGCTTGGGCAGCTCAACATAGAGGAGGGTTTCCAGGCGGCCGGGCCGAAGCATGGCTTCATCAATCATCTCAGGCCGGTTGGTTGCGGCGATGAGATAGATGCCTTCGCGCTCGGAAAGGCCATCGAGTTCGGTAAGGAGAGTGTTTACGACGCGCGCAGAGGCTTCGTGGAGCTCGGCGGAGCGTTTGGGGACAAGAGCATCAAGCTCGTCGAAGAAGATGACGCAGGGGACTGAGGACCGAGCTCGCATAAAGACCTGTCGAAGAGCGCGTTCGGATTCACCAACATACTAAAATTTGTTAGTAAAGGCCATACTTCCTGTACAACAATCTGGAAAACGTACCTTGTTCAACAGCTCTGGCCCTTTGACGCTGATAAAGTTTGCCTTTGACTCTGCAGCCACTGCCTTTGCCAAGAGCGTCTTACCGCAACCTGGAGGACCCCAGAGTAGCACCCCAGTAGGTGCCGAGATGCCAAATTTGGCAAACTTAGCTGGGTCTTTGATTGGCTCGCATATAGCCATCTCCAGCTCTTGCCGAATGCCAGAAAGTGCTCCAACGTTGTCCCATGTGGTATTCGGTACCGTTGTGAATCCTTCTCGCTTTGAAGAAGGAGTTATAGTTGGTAGGACAGCCTGAAAGGCTTCCATAGAAAGGGATGTGTTTTCAAATCCCTCGGGGCGCGGAGCGTCTGCATTCTTTGCTCGCATAATTAAACGACGAATCGACTGGTCGACTTGCGAGTCTAGTTGCGCGGAAATTTCATTGTCGATCTCCATCGTAGTCTCTGCAATAGCTGCCTGCTTTTCGAGTGCTGCCCGGAATTGAGTCATGGACCACATGCCTGCTTTGCTGACGAGATCCTTCAAGTCCGCGCCAACGAATCCAGCTGTTCTCTTTGCCAATATGTCAAAGTCCACATCTGGAGATAACTTTGGTTGACGCGTGAGCGCTTGAAGTATGGACCGCCGCATCTGCTCGTTTGGTACGCCAATGTTGATCTCGGTATCGAATCGACCCCCACGTCGAAGAGCCGGGTCTAGACTATCCGGACGGTTTGTGGCTGCGAGTACGATGACAGGCTTGCCGTTGTTGCCTTCCATTGCGAGGCTGTCCATGGAGATGAGTAGTTGTGCAACAATCCTCTTCTCCATCTGACTCTGTGCACTATCCCGCTTGGGCGCAATGACATCAATCTCGTCGATGAAGATGAGGCATGGAGCGACTTCTTTGGCCTTTTCGAAATGCTCACGAACCTGTTTTTCGGACTCTCCAGACATGCCTGAAACGACGGAAGGACCTAGAATCTCAATAAAGGGCACACCTAGTTCGGCAGCAAACGCTCTGCAGATGACGGTTTTGCCGCATCCAGGTGGTCCATGAAGGAGTATGCCACGGGGTATAGGGATCTTACGTTCGGCATACTCCTGTGGCATCAGCAGAGGTAATACCAAATGCTCTTTTAACTGTTCCTTGACCTTCCCGACGCCACCAAGATCATCCAAGGTCATGTCTGTAGGTGCTGCAGTATCGATCTTGCTGTCACGCGCCGCCTCTGCTGCCTTCCTTTGCCTCTTGCTATCGCGTTCCTCTTTCGACTTGCCCCCATCCCGCTTCTTGCTCTTTTCACTCTTCTCGCCATTGCCATTGGCAGGAGTTGCCCACTGATTGACAATCTGGCGATTCATCCAATCACTCGATCGATCATTTTTCTCTTTTGGTTCGTCCATGGCGAAGTCGCCCTCCAGTTCGGCCATCTCGTCTTCGTCGCCGGATTCTTCGTCTTCCCGTATGACGTCGATTACGCGATCAATGGAGTCCTCCAACTGCTTCTTGGGTCTTCTTTTCAGACTCGAATTGGAGCGCTGGATATAGTCATATACGGCAGAAAGACGTAGCTTCAATGGCGATTCGTTCTTGTCGTCGAGATATTTGCGCACAACTTGGTACACTTCTTTGTCGAGACCGGCTTGGAGAGAGGAGCGGCCTTTTGTCATGTTGATATCTTCTGTGAGTGTACGCGCAAGCAGCCTTCATGTAAGGTGCTATCCTAACACCTTCTACTCTATGGGTGACGGTATTCACTTAGTGAATGTACGTGGGCAGGGTAGCCTCAAGCACACATTGAGCTTGTTCGAACTTGGTCTCGCAACGAATGACTGGACGTTCGGATACTAGAGATGCATGTCCACAAAAAAGTTCGCGCGTCTTATCGATAAGACTAGCACCGGCCGTATTCCGCCCTAGCTTCCCAGCCTGCATACGTCAATCAAGGCACGGGGACCCGACGTCGGGGAGGTCGCATGAGCAAGCCTGGGACACTTTGACTCTCAACACTCATGGAGATCGCAGCAATATGGGCAACTCGAGCAGCTCAAACAAGATCTCAGCCCAGGACAAGTGAGTCGACTTTTACCTGTGTTCTTGTCTCTACAGTACTGACAACTTAGGGCCATCCTGGACATGAAGAACCAGCGCGACAAGCTGCGACAGTACCAGAAGCGCATCACCGTCCTCACTGACCTCGAGAAGGAGATCGCAAAAGAATGCTTGGCCAAGGGCGATACGAATAAGGCGAAGCTGGCGCTGAGACGAAAGAAGTACCAGGAGAGTCTACTGTCCAAGACCGATCAACAGTTGGCGCAGCTCGAGATATTGACAAGCGACGTCGAGTTTGCGCTGGTGCAAAAGGATGTCTTGTATGGACTACAGCAAGGGACTGCAGTGCTCAAAGAGATTCACAAGGAAATGGGTGGCATAGAGAACGTGGAGAAGTTGCTGGGTGAGAGCGAGGAGGCTCGGGCTTATCAAGAGGTGCGCAAACCCGTCATCCGTCAACACTCACGATGCTAACAGAGACCATGCAGGAAATCAGCGAACTTCTCGCCAACAAAATGTCCAACCAAGATGAAGACGAAGTCGAAGACGAGCTCGAGGCGCTCGAAGCAGAAGTCAACGGCGTGGTCCCCGCGCTGCCCGATGCGCCTGTCGCACAGCCACAGTTCACGCCAGAGGAGAAGGCGCAAATGGCCAAGGACAGGGCTGCGAGGAGAGCGAGGGAAAGGGCTGCTGAGCAGGCGTCGCAGCCCATGCTTGCATGACGGAACACGGCATTTGCTTTGGGTATAGATGGCATTAGAGCGCGGTGTTGGGGTGTTTATTGGTATTTTCTGGATGCTTCGACTATGCGATGCGTGTTTGCTAGAATCACGATACATGAACTGAGACAGTGGTCGCGGATCGATGCTTGCGGTGACCACGTGTCTGCGACGTGCGCAATGATGCAACTTCTCAATCCGACTGTTTGTCAGAGCTGCACCAGATTCTCCCTTTCCTCTAATACACCTCCATCTACTCTTCCACAGCGTTCGACCAGTACAAAACACTCTTGAACACTGAAGCTCAAGCTACCCCGCCCCCACTAACAACATCGCGAACGAGAAGCACAACACCAATATGTCGCACTCGCACTGTCACGACGAGCACCACGATCACGACCACGGCGACGGTCACGACCACTCGGACGATATCACGCCTGCGCTGCAAAACATTCTATACGAACAGCTCGACTTCCCCAAAGTCGTCACCCTCAATGAAGATGAGTCCAACAGCGGACGCGCCATATGCCAAAAGACATGGGCACAGCGCTTGGAACCCACGCCCGAGCTGAAAAGCAGCGCCGACCAACAACTCCTCATGACGATCCCCTTCACCGGCCAAGTACGCCTGCACAGCATAATTCTGCGCACAAGCCCCGGTCCAGACTGCCCCAAGACGCTCAAAGTTTTCGTCAACCAAGACTCGCTCGACTTTGAGACTGCATCGGAGAAGGAACCCACGCAGGTGCTTGAGATAAGCCAGACATCAGACGTGCAGGAGATTCCCGTCAAGCGCGCAAAGTTTGGCACGACGAGGAGTCTGGCCCTGTTCTTTGAGGATAATTGGAGTCATGGCGAGGAAGACGAGACGAGGATTAGCTATTTGGCCTTCAAGGGCGACTTTATGAAGTTGAATAAGGAGGCCGTATCTGTCTTGTACGAGGCTGCTGCGAATCCGAGCGATCATAAGAATATTGTGGGTATTGGGCAGGGTGTGGGGAGGAGTGTGCAATAAGTAGCATGTGGGTCGAGGGTCACATTCGAAGGGCATGTTGCATGGGAGGGAGTCAACGCCATCATGATATCGCATTGATATACTAGTCTCTCGTTTCTATAATATCCAATCATAATGAGAAGCATCTCATAGTCTGACGGGTCAGCGAAAGCGCGTCATGGGTACTTGGAGGTGACATACTCAGCGTGCTGTGCTGCATTCGTGGGTATCATTGCCTCGTCATATTCGATATATCCAGCAAGCATTTCTCCCTTGTTCCTCAGGTCATACTGATCTTGTGCGCCTGGCCTTCCTTATATTTCCACGGCAAGACCGTCAAGTTGTCCATCGCCTTGGACCCCGGTATCCAATATCCACATGTTCGCCCAAAACATTTCTCTTGTCAACGCCCGAAGCTCAAACTCACCTCAGTTGTGTTTTGTATTGCCCAGCACCTCACCATGCACCTTAGACCAATTGATCTTTGAATCAATCTCTTCGTCCACCTTGCCCACCACCGCTACGCTGTCGCCCCGTATGATGTATAGTCCCAGGGGTACCTCTTCGCTAGGTACTTCTTCTTCTAGTGGTCGAATGATGCGCTCAACGGCTTCTTGGAGGACGAGGTTCATACTGCCGTCGCACGAGTGTAGCTTGCCAACCATTGTGCGCCCATCGATGGTGAGGACGGATACCTTTTCTGAAAAGAGTTAGCTTATAATCAAAGGGAGGAAAGGGTGGTTATACTGTTCAGGTAGGCGTTGAGTGCCATTGTGGAGGTTTGGGTGGGTGGGCCGTAGTCGAACGGTCGAGTCGTGGGGGTGTCGGCTGGACTTGGTAACGAAGAAAAAATACAAGTCCTTGTGTTGACGCTGTATATCCTCTGCACTAAGAAAGGTGGTATGGGCGAGCGGGTCTTCCTAGCGTGGTCTGCCCACGGAAGGGCTGTGGTTTGTCCTATGCGCGGGTACGAAGACGACAGATTCAAGACTTTTAAGGCGGAAGACTAGTCGTGGGCTTTCAGGTACGCTATCTGGCGGGGCGGGGGGAAAGAGTGTATATCTGCGGATGTTGAGGCTTAGTTGGTACGCACAAGTTACATGGATAGCTCGCGATGCTTTGCGGTGGAGCTTCGACTTTGGATGAGGGCCGTGCGTTCGGCCAATCAGGGAACACCTCCTCCGCATGGCCACTCCTTCTCACCAGCTGTGCTTCCTTTCTTTAATATCAGTAGTGGACGTAACATTTCTTCGCATGCTTTCCTGGTATTACTCTCTACGAATTCACTTTTCTTACCGTGCCGATCTATTCCCAATCGAATTAAAGACTTCATCAACTGGGTGGAAGACTTCCTAGGTTCAGTGACATCGTTCACACCTCATATCTTATTCTTGGGCAGTCTCCATTCCTCAACAACACACAATCTGCTTCCCTGGTTGCTTCAGACAAGAAGTATCCGATTACATCAAAATTAGGCATACTAACTTCCCTAAAAGTTATGGTTTGTCTGTGCGTGTTCAGTATCGTGCCATGGTTAGGTGTGGAGACACTCAATGAGACCACCTTTCAAATTTCCTCTGCCTGTAAAACATGTCCCCCGATCTTATTCTCATTTCATGGCTCCAAAAAACGCGTCGAAAGACCAAGACGACATGGTCGACCTTTACCCATTCATTGAGTAATACCCGATCCTCCTGGCACTCTGTCCACACCTGCGCATTGCCGACTTCATCGCCCTGACACAACTGAATCTTGAATTCCGTCTTCTGCTCAAAGGACTAAACCGACCATTCGTACTTGGACAAAAATCCATCTTCCCATTCAAGCCAGTAATCAGGGAGTGCTCTTGCCAAGAGCATCATGGAACCTGCTGTCCAAAACATGGCACACTTACATTGCGCAATATGCTCCGCAAAATCGATAGGACATGCGAATCTGGTTACCACATGGTTCACAGCCCCTCAAATGCGCTCATCAAATTGTGGCAATCGACCATTTGTGACGCCCTCGGTGGTCTAAGTGACGTTAATTCGTGCCAAACGTGTAAAGCAAACATATGCTTCCCATGCTGGTGGAGAACACAAAGTTACAGGCTCCCAAGCAGCCAGGTAATTCAGATACAATACATGTGCTCAACATGCTGGAAATCGAAAGCCTCGCGTACATTTCTTCGCACCAACAGCCATCCAACAGAGGGGGAACCAGTGCAGCAGAGTGCCTTCTGCCCGTGCAGTAGATCGATACTCTGCAGGTCTTGCGCCCCCAAAACTCTGGAAGTACATGCTGCCACCGCTGGCTCTTCACTACGATTCGATAAAGCAGTTCTGGGTACATAGGTACCATTTATTCTTTCGTCCCAGCTATCGAGGACCGTTGCCTTCTCCACCGACGTACTGGGAACCCATCGAGACCCGCTTAGAACGCTTCAACCAAGCCTCAGAACGCTTCCACCAAGCGTCTATCCTTACTCCCGAGGAGAGGAGTTGCTTTGACAGATGCTCTTACTTCAAACCCATCAGCGCTCCTGTGTGGGAGTTTGAAAAGGCTTTGTTTTCGCTGCCTGCTGCTTCCTAGCTGCGCTTCATACGCGTCACGACAGATACAGAGAAAATGTGGATACTTTGGCGACGCAGCTGAGAAAAAAGGTAATTGGGAGAGGAGAGGACCGTTCGATTTTCAGGCTGATAGGCCATATTAGAATGGGTGACCGTAAAGGTACATTCACTTTTGATCTGCTTGTGGGAACCCTGGCCAGCAACCCTATTTTGTATCAAGTAGACCATGGAGATACGGACACAGAATGGAGATTAGGTAGATTCATATCAATATATCATTTAGTGGTATCATGCAATAAGTTCAAGAAATAAAAAAGGGTTTCATACATGACTCCCAGCTCTTCTCCCTTCAAAGTCTTCTGGTCTATAGTCCTTCAACTCAATTAATTGACCGCCCTTGACACCACGATCCATGGAACCAATCTCATCCTTCTCCTGGACTGCCCTCTCTTTATTCAACGCGAATCCGGTATATGATCGCGGGAGGTAGCGTCCAGGATGCCAAATGGCAAAAACCGCCATTACGAGCAACACGGGCGCGGCGTCAAAGACCCAGAAACACCATTCGTGGCTCTGTAGGTACAAAAGGCCGTAGTTGCGGTCGTGCGGAATCTCCATTGTGCGGTAGACGGCGCGTAAGGCGATGAGTACAGACGACAGGTTGATGGTGTAGGACAGTTTACGCCACAGATGCATGTCGCCTAGATCATGTGCGGACCAGTGGCGTGACAGGTAAAAGTAGCGTATGCTTACGATGGAAAAGGAGACGAAACACATCATTTGCAGGACAAGGCCTAGGACCAAGATGACGCGGCCTGGGAGAGCCTTGCGCTCGGAGGAGCTAATAGTGCGGGATCCAGAGGGCGAACGGTCATATTGCCTACTTATCTGGGACGCGCCGATGAGTTGGACGGCGAAGGAGAAGAGATCAAAGGTTACGAATGTGGAGGTTATCCAGCGCGGGAAACACCATAGCGTCTGGAAGTTGAGTGCGTGCGTCGGACAGCTGAACCAGATTACGCGGCTAAATGCGGTATAGGAAGCTGCGGCGAGGAAACTGGGTGCGAGGAGGATCATGAGCCAGGAGATGAGGAAGGGATCTTCTTTTGCCTCGTCATAGGCAGATACCAGGCGCGTGATGAAGCCAAGGTCCAACATGACGATGGCGATGATGGCTGTCCAGAAGAACCATGATCGATGGCGCACATACTGCGACAACGAGTATAGGGAGAGAAGTAGGATGACGACAACACCGATTATGGCGAGAGCGCAAGACGGCTCATATATGTAAGGATTGATGAAGGTTTGCACTGGTTATATGTCAATAACAAGCGTATATGGACGCAGTGAGACGTTGGGTGTGGCGTCGAGAGCTAGAGTTTGGGGCCAACTCACCATAGGAGTGGTCCCTTTTGGGGAAGTCCACAGATCGCGCATCGAAGAGGCTGGCCGCTTCCATTATCCTGGCCACCATGTCCCGCTCCGCTCCGCGAAACCTCGCTGGCAGAAGTGCAGAAAGCCTATTAATTCCACCCTTTTGATCCTCTTAGTCGATGTGCGGTGATGGCGGAACCAGTACACTCTTGTCGAAGCCGTTCAGCAGCGCTCATGGATGGCCAGACACCTTGCGAACACCACAAAGTCGGGAGTCGCAGAGGGGCAAGCTTTCAGCATAGCGCAGGCCGGGCTAACGGCGAAAGTATAAGAGAAAAGGGAATTGGACAAAGCGTAAGGGTTTGGAATTATGACCGAGGAAAACAAGAGAAAACCAACAAAGACGCAATCAAGGGCTGCAACGCGGCGGTACTACGCGCGTTTTACCATCTCATTCCCTTTTCTCCGCGTCACTGGGCGCAAGCTCAAGGCCTTGGCGGCGTTTCCTCGACCCCGTCTTTCGTTCCTCTCCGCGTAATCGCGACGACTGTGGCCAGCCTGATCTACTACGTGTGCCAGAAGTGCGCACGTTTCCCCATGCGAGACGTTCGGTACGGGAGAAGTCGGGTCGCGCTTACTCAGGCCATGTCTGCAGTTAGTTACCTCAGTCCTCCCATTTCCCTCACAACGACACTATTTCTTCAAAAACTCATTTCCTCGACGTGCGCGGAAGCACGTAACGTTACCGAATTGCTGCAAGCAAACCGCTTGCTGGGTCACAAGTTCCATGGGGAAGCTCATCGCCTTGGGGCCTTGGCAAACCACAAAAGTCCATGGCATTCGCACACGCCAAGCGTATTGGCATGGTAGGCCCGAATGACACCCAAGACAGTTGGCGCATACATAGACACCCATTTGCCTGTGAAGCCTCTCTCTGCCTGACTGTCAAGAGTTTCGACCTAGACTAGTTTGCCGAATCTTCCGGTTGCTGGTAGAACGGGCGCGGCATCGCTTGTGCACGACTTTTACCAAGAGAACGATTCCGCTCGGCAATTGGCGGATACAGCCTTTCTCCTATTTGGATATGAATAGCCTCCTCTATGTATCCAATCGTGGAAGCAACCTACATGTGTGTACTCAAACTATCTAGCCGGATCGTCCGGTTACTGACTCAAGAGCGAACATGATATCATCTGTGCACCACACTTACGAAACAACCATCCCGAAATTCAACCTACAAGCCTCCCGGTTTCTTTCCTCCTGTTGTTCCTCACTCAGCCTCGGATCCAAAACCGTCACTATGTTGGACCGCCTGATAGTGTTGATCCGTTCCGACCCATACATGTACATCTCTCGCTCTTCTTCGTCATCGAGACTAGCAAGCTGGTCTTCGCAGAAGAACATGTCTGGGCGGAAATTCTTGTGTGATTGTTCACCCGAGGCCTGTTGGGAGAAGGTATGACTGGGAGCGTCGTCTTGGGGGGCTGTTGAGCATGGTAGGTTTGGGGAACCTGAATCTGAATCCGAGGCGGCGGTGGATTTGGACTCTGCCGGCGTCTCATAGTTACATGCATGCTCGTATCCTTTCTTACAGCTTTCCTCGTAGCCTTTCTTGTACCCTACTTCAAGGCCGTTCTCATATCCATCCTGCCATGATTCAGTCCACCCTTGCTTAAATCCCTTATCGTACCATTCTCTATACTCTTCATCCAAGCTTTCGTCTTCATTCTCTTCTTCGGCCTCTGCCTCATGCTCTTGCCAATCCTGATCTTCTAGAGACTCTCCTACGCCTTCACTTCTACACTTTTCCTGGCTCTCTGGCACTTCCTCTCCAATCTGATATCCTTCCTGTATCGCCGGCCCTTCTTGACTCCCGCCCTGCATAACCTCTCCCCTAGGCACTTTATATCGTCCCCATACCAGTGGATGTGCAATTTCGCCCTCTCCAAATGCAATATACGAATGATCCTCAAAGTAGATGGCGGATGCATAGGGTGAGGACATCATTATGGGTCTGGTACCATGCAGGGAGGGACGGCGAGGCATTTGAATGGCTTGGGGAGGGGAGCCGGGGATGCCTGGGTGAACACAGATAGGGTAGTGACGGGGCATACTAATAGTTGATCTTGGGTGAGACGGATACAGAGGTTGGTACGAATGGGGAGGGTTGGGCAAGAGGTAATAAAGATAAGAATGTTTGCTTTGAGTTAGCAAGCAAAGTGTGCACGAATTCAAATGGGCAAGTGAAAATCACATTTTGGATATAAGAGAAGCACTGAACATCTACTAGAGACCATAGTATTCGTTCTTTAAATTGTATATCTAGCTAGCACTTAGACTTCTATCCATCCCATCTTCCATCATCGCATGTGTAAAGGCATAATCACACATGGCTTCTTCCACTTCAGATACTGAACGTCCTGGTTGAGACCAAGACGGCTCTGCAATCTTCCCCTCGTTCTTCCTCCAAACAAGTTAGTATCGTCCTCTAGCTGCTATTCACGCCCTAATCACTCTTTGGTAGAGGGGCTCTTTCGAAACTGTTGAATAGCGAGTCGAATCTACTCATACAGTTCATGAATTCCATGTCGTCTATATTGAAGCCTTCTAGGTGGAATCTTCGGCAGGGGAATTGTCTGCAGTGGAGTCATCTGCGTTAGCCATACGCTCTCTGATAGATGGGGATTTTCGCTGCCGCTTCGACTTCCGATGTTCAACCTTCTCGTCTTCCAGCGCCGCAACCTTCCGAGCAGATTTGCCCTTTTTCGTGACCTTACCCTTCGCATCCTTTGACAAAGGGAAGATATCTGCCGCGGAGATGGTCTTTTTACAAACTTGCTCTGGCAAATACCTAGTTTGGGACAATTTCAGCGGCAATTCCACCACGGAGAAAGAATGTCGAAGAAATAGGATCATCGAATCTGTGTTCCTAGTCCTAACGCGCTTCACAATCGTGACTTCGATCTGCACATCGCTGTCCGAGGGGCGAGGGGAAATTATCTGCTCCACGCGACGCAATGGAGTAGGCGGCATAGTGTATACCACTGCGTCATCCAGTCTGCCGACGTTCATCTTACCCCTAAAGCTGTGACGATGTTTAGTCTTACCCCACTCTTTGCGTGGACCGTAGGTTTGCTTGAGCAGGTGGACAGCTACTTTGCGGCGGCCTTCCAAGGCGGTCCAGAGTTCGGCCCAGGCTTTTCGGCCCTCGGATTTGGTGTGCCATCCACTGTGACGCCTATGAAAGTGCGCGAGGATTTTTAAGTCGGTCCAAGCCTCGCTAAAGGGGCGGTGGCAACGGGGGCAGGCCTTAGGTTCGACGGCTTTTATACAGGCGTGGTGGTGCTCGAGGATGTCGAGCGAGGATAGGTGCTTAAAGAATAAGTGGCAGAGAATGCAGGCGGTCTCTGCGCCGTCTTCCGGGGGTGAAGGCAAAACCAAAGCCTGTCCGGGTGAGGCAGAGAGAGAGGTTGGGGTTTGAAGAGTGCCTGATGGTGGTTTCCGGCCTGAGTCTGAGAGAATGAGTCGAGCAGTACGCGGACTCTCGTCCCTGTCCTCCTCCTTCTCTATGTTTTCCAGCCACTTTTCGACCTTGATGTTCTCCTTCCAGCGCTTCCAACATCGATTAACGTGCACTATAGTCTGTTTGTCGGTGGCCCCTGACAGCCCGCAACAACAGATCGCGCATTTAGCAAGAACTACGACACGCTCCATCCGGGGGCCATGTGGTGCGAGGAACTTTGGAACCGGTAGAGTAGTTGCAGGTAGTAAATTAGCTGCTTCAGTGATGGAATTGATGGGTGTGATGAGCAGGATAGGCGTGGTGGACGGTGTTGCTCCAAGATCAGGAGATGGAGGTGCGGTCGGCGTCTCAATATCAGACATCTTAGCTGACTTTGACTGATTATAGCCGTGACACAGAGAGTCGAGTTTGTTTGAGGTAAGACCGTTTGGAGTTCAAGTTCAGCAGAGTCTTGTGTTGTTTGGGGGACCCAGAGCGCTCGAGTTCCAATATGGTGTAGGTTTGGAAATCAACAGTCAGGTTGAGTTGACCTTTCAGTTGATGGGGGTAGAAGGGGAGAAAGGGAGAATTAGGGAAGGGGAGAGAGTGTGTGTACTGCCTGGGCGATCTCAGGGCGGGCGGTTGGTCACGCATTGTGTAAACTAGCTTGCTATAGCCTTCTCCGTGGCCAACTACTGTAGGGCAGATATGACTACATTCGCGAGCTCAGTGATTAAACAATGCGTCCGTGCTTTCACTGCACACAGTGATCAGATTAACATAGCATTCACGTACTTGCCAGTCGTAATTAAGTGACGAGCATTCAGTGACGCCGTCTCATATAGCTCATGACCTCCGGGGTTTCTGTTTATGTTGCTTCTCTATCCTCCTACAGTCCCGTTTAGAAACTACAGACTTGGTCTCTCAAATGAATGAAACTGGTGTCTTCGCACTGTGTAATTATATCTATTGCCACCCTCAGAGCCAGCAGCTGTTCATAAAGATCCCCATTAAATATGCTATTACTCTTATCACAATAACTGAGCAGTTTATAGTTTTTGCCCGCCTGAGATCAAGGCTACATGGAATCATAGTGACATGAAGACATAAAAGGACATAATTTGCAAGGTAAACACAGTAAATGCATCCTGAGCCTTGGGGCTTACGTCATCACCTGACGAACTTTTGCACAAGGGAATGCCCTCACCTCCAGCCACCGTTTGTTCGACATGTGCGACTGAAAGTCATCTTCGCAACTTATCTATCAAGTATGAGCCTTACTTACCAAATGGCCCGAATCTAAAGTCGGACTAGAAGAATTCCTCATCTTCAAATTCATCTTCTGTATCCGTATTGTCCACAGCTTTAGGTCCGTAGATCTCCACCCGCCCATCTTCATCATCGTAAACGTCAAAATCTTCCATGTTGTACTGTTCTGTCTCCCAATCGAGTCTAGACTGTGCAACTTCTGCCAACCTCCAAGAATCCACCTTGATAAGCTCTCCGTTGATCCCCACCTTCTTGGCACTAAGGTCGAACAGAGTCTCACTACGAAGCCCTGACATACCGTTGCCAAAGGGTGTCTGAGTGAAATTCTTTAGCGCTCGGAAGGCATTGATGCGGTCCCGGTCTGTGCGAGTCTCAGATGGTGCATCTTTGCACATGGGCCACAGTAGTCGTGGGCAGTCATGGATCTATGGTGTCTGGCATATGCGCATTGTGGCGATAAAGACCAGGACTTCGTGCTCTATCTCAGACGGCACCATAGCTAGGCGACCTGGTGGAAGCGACGGAAAGCTTGCATTGTTGTTGTGTTGCTCAAGGTCGTCGTCCATCTCTTCTTCATTGTCTTCACTCTCTTCTTCCGAGTCACTGCTGTCGAAGGAAGAATACTCAGGATTCGGAAAATCATTGTTCCAGGCCGTGGGCCGCACGATGCGCTTCTCTTGGGCGACTTCTTGTAAGTCCGATGGATATTGTCGGTAGAGCCGCTCAGGTAGCGCAGCAACCATCTTCTTGGATAGTAGGCGCCATTCCCCACATGAAGCTGTGTCACGCTCAATCTTTTTGAGGATATGGATATAGTCGGCGGCCAACATGCTACGATACACTAGTTAGACTAGTCGACTTCTTGGTTACACAAAGCTAAGGAGATTTTGAAGCAACAGGCTATGTGCTTGTCGCAGTGCTATAGCTTGGAAGTGTGGCATTGGGGGCTTACATTGCGTTTGGCTTGCACATCAATGAATACGATTGGGTTTGAGACCCGTGAGGGCTCTTCTGTGATGTTGACCTGGTGGTGATGTGGTAAATTGGAATGGTAGAGTGCGACAAAGTCTTGGCTGGTGAAAGACTTTATAGAACTATGGAGAATATTCGACGGTGCGCCGGAGCACGCGCTCACTGAGTGGCGACTAAGGCCCCTCGATAACGTTACCCTGACAACAAACTATTTGAGTGAATCCGATCAATGTTGACCACGAGCTTGCACAACATCTGCCGTTGAGATAGTCGGCCTCACAGCGTGTAATGCAATTCGAAACAGGCCCTTACAGGGGTTAACCAACTTCACCGAGGGTTGCAAATCTTTGAACCAACAACAAAAGAAACAAACTAAATAATGAAACTAATCAAAAGTGTCGGCCATAGGGCTTATCCCTCGGCTTCTCCTTAGGCAACCAGGCAGCCAGCCATTTACCCGCTAGTACCTTTACGGCCTAGCTCCTTCACTCCCTCTTCCCACTGCGCATCAGACTCCGCAACAATCAATCCAGATTGGTCAGATTGATTGATTTGATTGGTCATTTGGAGTTTTTACCAACTCAATCAACTCAATCTAAGCTTTTCAAAATAGCTAATCAAATCAACTTGCGAAGGTCAGATTGATTGATTTGATTAGTTAGATTGATTTATTATTAACGAGTTGTAAGGCGAGTAGTGTCGTATTAAGAGAAGGTTTTTGGTGTTGAAGATAGTTATCTTGGACCCCTATCTCGCTTAGCTTGTGATCCCTGTCGGCCGGGCAAGCCAGTCTCTATGCATTCACTTCTCACCAGCTAGCTCTCCTCTTATAGGACTAGCTCCTTCTGCTTAGGGGCTAGCCTCTTCTAGGCTTCACCCCGCACCTATATAGCTAGTCCTTCGCTGTTCTTAATACAACAACGATTTCGCTCACTCAGTTCCCTAATAATCCCTTACACACAACACTAGTTGCCTAGCTACCTATACAGACATTTTTCTTTAGTGTTTAGTATCGCCCACGATGGCCAAACGCTCTCGAGTTCCCACCAATACTGCTGCCGCCGCCGCCGCCGCCAAACGGGCGCGCCTATCAAGGCCCTCTGTCCTATCTCAGCGATCGCTGTCGCCTCAGGAAACCCTTGGCGCCGCCGTAAGCCAGGCCACAACGTTTGAGTCGCAATTTTTCGAGTCGCAAACAGAGGAGGAGGGTGCGGCTGAGGGCAGCCAGGCTGGTACAGCAGCAACAACAGAGGCTAGTGTTGATACAGAGCCTGATAATGGCGATAACTTTGACGGCATTAACTGGGATCGCCTCCCTCGGTTCATGAAGCCTCTTACAACTGGGCGGCGCGTCAAGAGTTGGATCTTTCAACATGGATATCGCGTTGTTGAGCTCTACGATCAGAATCGAGTGTGGTTTGTATGCAAATACTGCCACATCCACAAGGTCATTGACACTGGCGGCAGTGGAGTTTTTGACGTATCAAAGGCCACCTCCTCAGCTGCAGCTCATCTTGGCCTTCAGAAACGAGGCCATGGCTTTACAAAAGACGGCCTGAAGCCTCGAAGAACAGGGCAGCAACTCTCTCTACGACAGACGCTGGAGACTGGTGTTGCAGTCTCTCAAGAGCAGACTTGCTATCAGTCAGGTAACTCAGTTCGAACTGACTGAACTGACTGCCAAGACTCAGTTCAGTCAGTCAGTTCTTGAGGCAGCTGGACGTCAGTCCAGTCAGTTCAGAAGCCTCCAGACTGACTGAACTGACTGACGTTAGACTGACGTTAGCTGTTTTTAAAGCAGTATTTTAGAGTTGTGAAAGCCACATTTAGTGCGGCTTCGAAGCCGCGCTAGTCCTAGATATAAAGACACTAATCCTATATAAGTTAAAGCATCTAGCTTTAAGCTAATTAGAGTTTGCGGAAATGCGCTACCCGGTGCGCACCTAGTAAGCCTTTCGCGTCGCGTCGCGTCGCGTCTGCTATACACACGACGCTAGACTACTGTTGCCATAATACTTCTTGGTGTACTTCATGTCTACTCCCTCTAATTCAGGCCTTCGCCGCCTTGTAGAATGCGACAAGCGCAATTCTCCTCTACCATCGCTATCAAACGCGCCTACTGTTGGCGATACTGCGAGCGAGGCCCAGGCTGATGAGCCCTTGGCAGTACAGGCGGACTTCCCCAACGACGGCGACGACGACGACGACGACGACAATTACGACGGGCTTGATTTTAAGCGTGTGCCGTATCTTGAGCGGCGCCAGGTTGAGCGTAATAGTCGCGGTGGGCCAAAAAGCTGGATCTACCGCCACGGCTGGGCCGTCTGGCACCGCAAGTACAAGAAAAACTACTGGCTTTGCCGGTACTGCCATCAACGACGGAAGCAGGAGGCTTGCTACGAGGCTGACAGCACTACAAACGCCGGCCGACACCTCTCAAGCAACAAGCCTGGACACTCACACGGACCTAACGGACCTGTACCAATTGCTAGCCGGGAGGGCAATATTATGGGCGCGCTCGCAAAGTCCCAAGTATATATTATGAGGTCTAAAGGGATAGAAGTATCGCAAGAGGTAGCAAACGAGATAGCAGCAAGCTTTTCAACCTCTCGATTTCAGGACGCGCTGAAGGACTGGGTAGTCGCGGACAACCAGAGCCTTCGCGTAATAGAAACGCCGCAGTTTCGAGCCATGATTGCGGCCGTGAGCCCGCTAGCCGAAGCTCTCCTTTGGCGTAGCCACTAAACGCTCCACGATCATATTATTACTGAGTACAATACATACATACTAGCTGTTGCCAACTACCTTCGCGAAGCCCGGTCGCTTATACACGTGTCATTCGACAACTGGACTTCAACTGGTGGGCAGTATGCTTTTACTGGCCTCTGCGTACATTACCTTAACAGCGAGGGCAAGCTAGTTGACCACCTGCTTGGGTTGCCTGAGCTACACGGGGCGCACACTGGCAATAATATTGCCGCTGCAGCAACAACAATACTTCGGCTATTTGGCGTTGACAACGCGAGGGTTGGGTACTTTGTGCTTGACAACGCAAGTAACAATGATACTGCAGTTGAGTCCTTAGCAGAGGAGTTTGGCTTTATCGCAAGCGAGCGGCGGCTGCGGTGCTGCTGCCATATACTCAACCTAAGCGCACAATTAGTAATTTGGGGCAAAGACCGTAGCGCGTACGAGAATGAAGCCGCACACCTTGAGGAAGAGGAGAAGTACATGGATGAGTGGCGCAAATACGGTCCTGTTGGCGTCCTCTTTGACGTGATTGCGTCTATCTGTACGCCTCAAACTCGACAACTACTAGAGCGCCTACAGTGCGAGGAGGCAGAGTCTCTAGGTGTTACACCCCACATCCGGCAGCTTGTGAAGCCTGTTAAGACACGCTGGAATAGCTATTTCAACACGTTTGTCCGTGCAGCTGAGCTACACGGCCCTATCGATGGCTATATTGAGTGTAAACTTGAGGAGCATAGTGCTGCAACAGCAACCTCACGACGCCGGAAGAATCGTGAGCAGCTCCCTGCTGCCCAGCCACGGTTATATATACGCGAAGGGGGTCTAAGCGGCAAGGACTGGGCGACAATAACAGAATACATTCGACTCCTTGAGCCATTTGCCGAAGCTACACGGCTACTTGAAGGTCGCGGCCGACACGGCCGACACGGCGCTATATGGGAAGTTCTAGTAACGTTTGAGTGGCTTCTTGACCAGCTTGAGGCTCTCAAAGACCGCCTTAAGGATGTAAATTACGAAGATCTAGATGCGCCTGAAGATCATCTTATTACAAACGTTAACCTTGCGCATTGTAAGCTTGCTGAGTACTACGCAAAATTCGATAACGCGCCTGTCTACTACACTGCTACAATACTACACCCGCACTACAAACACCACCTCTCAGCGCTCTGGAAGGTGCCTGACACCCATGTCACTGCCCGTGACGGTGTCCACTATCGCGACGGCTGGCTTGACAATAACCACCGGGCATTCCTGCGTATGTGGCAGGGGCGGAAGGACTCTGCAGCCACTTCAGCTCACACTGTAACGCCGCCGCGTAAGAAGCCCCGGCTAGGGATTTCAACGTCGCGATCAGCTTTTCTACAGTCGTCAATTGAGCAAAGCACACGGCAGTTAGAGGCAAGCCTTGCTGAGGATGAGTATGAGATATGGAAGCGGCAACCAGCGTTAGCTGAGGAGGATTGGCTGTCTCTTAATCCGCTTCTATACTGGGAGTCAGTTGCTGGGCAGTTCCCTATACTCTCAAAGTTCGCTATTGACGTCCTAACAATACCAGCAGCAGCGGCAGACTGTGAGCGGACTTTCAGCGAGCTTGGCGACATGTTAGGCACCCGGAGACTCCATATGAAGCCAGAGCTTATTTCAGCTTTGCAGAGCTTGAAGAGCTGGAAGAGGCTTGGTATACAGCCAACAACTACCTCAGCTTCTGGGCTAGCGCGCACACTATCAGAGGAAGAAATCTCAAAAGTACAGGAGCATTTATCTCAGTTCGACGTCAGGTAACTCAGTTCAGTCAGTCCAGTCAGTCCGCAGGCCGCGGCGACGTCAGTTCAGTCAGTCAGTTTTAGTTTAATTGAAAAGTCTTGGCAGTCAGTCCAGTCCAGTTCAGTGACCTCAGGACGTCAGTTCAGTCAGTCCAGAGAGCTCCGGACTGACTGAACTGACTGATAGCAACTCTGCTCAAGAGGCTGCCAACGCGATGGGCAACTTCAACATCCAGCAGTTTCGTGAAGTTGCAGTGTTCTGCCTTCTTGATAACAACTTGCCAATGGAGCTACTTGCAAGGCCGTCCTTTCGCGAGATGATTAGCCTTGCAAACCCAGAGGCA